GGTTTGGGGGTGGTTTTGGGGTGGGTTTTGGGGTGGGTTTGGGGTGTTTTTGGGGCGGGGGTCTCTCACCTTGAGGGCCTGGTTGAAGTTCTCCACCATGGCGATCCAGTGGCCGGTCTGGCGGGCGAACTGCGCCGCCTGCACCTGCAGGGTCTTCACCTCCTGGTCCAGCTTGCGCTGGTTGACGTAGGCCTGGGCCACCCTGGGGAGGGGGACACGGAGCTGGAGACCCCAACCCACAAACCAGCTGGAGACCCCACCCCACAAACCCCCCCACCCAAAGGGAGGGGAGAGGAAAAGGGGGGAAGGGGTTGGGGAGGGAATGTGAGGGTGAGGGGGGCTTTGGGGAAGGGGATTTGTGGGGTTGGGGTCTTCAGGAAAAGGGATTTGTGGGGCTGGGGTCTTCAGAAAGAGGATTTGTGGTGTTGGGGGGCTTTAGGAAGGGGGATTTGTGGGGTTGGGGTCTTCAGGAAGGAGGATTTATAGAGCTGGGGGGTCCGGGGGCTTCAGGAAAGGGGATTTGTGGGGTTGGGGTCTCCAGGAAAGAGGATTTGTGGGGTTGAGGTCTTCAGGAAGGGGAATTTATAGGGCTGGGGGGGTCTGGGGGCTTCAGGAAAGAGGATTTGTGGGGTTGGGGGGCTTTAAGAAGGAAGATTTGTGGGGTTGGGGTCTTCAGAAAAGGGGATTTGTAGGGCTGGGGGGGTCGATGGGGTTAGGGGTCCCCGGGAAAGGGGATTTGTGGTGTTTGGGGTCCCAAGGAGGGGTATGGGGTTTGGGAGAGGGGGGTTCCCCGAAGGAATTTTGGGGGTCCCGGGGCTCACCCCACGTTCAGGTGATCGACCAAGGCCTCGGTGAGGCGGGTGGCGGCCGCGATCGCATCCCGGCGCCGCCGCTCTGGGTGGGGACACACCGTGAGGGGCGGCGAGACCCCCGCCCGGCCCGCCATGCCCCGTGACGTCACCAGCGCCGGGAGTGACGTCAGCATTATCCGGTGTGACATCACCGAATTGAACCGTGACCTCACGGGGACCTCCCCCCCCACGCCCCTCAGGCTTCCCGCCCTTTTCCCCTTGACGGACAGCCGCGCCAGCCAATGGGGCGCCGCTCCGCGCTGAGCGGCAGCTCCGGCAGCCAATGGGGCGCGGCGGGCGGGGTTTGTTGCCATGGGGACGGGGGCGGGGCGGGGCTCACCCTGCAGCTCGCGCCGCTCGCTCTGGCGGGCCTGGTGCTCCTTCAGCAGCCGGGACAGCATGGCGGCCGCCGCGTCACGTGACCGCGTGACCGAGCGCCGCGTGACCGAGCGTCCCGCCCCCTCCGAGAGCGCGCGTCACCGGCACGTGACCGCCCGCGGGGAGAGCCACGTGACCTGGGGCCATAGTATATAATATATATAATATATATAATATATATCTATAAAATATATATGATCTATAGGGGACTGGAGGGGCCATGGGGGGCTG